AAAAAATATAAAATTTAAAAAAAAAATATATATATATATATATATATATATATATATATATATATACACACACACATATGTATATACATATGTATGTATATGTATATATTTATATATATACATATGTATGTATATGTACATATATATATACATATATATGTATATGTATATATATGTATATATACACATGTATATATATACACATATGTATATACATATGTATGTATATGTATATATATGTATATATACATATATGTATATATATACACATATGTATATACATATGTATGTATATGTATATATTTATATATATACATATGTATGTATATGTACATATGTATATATGTATGTGTACATTAGTTTAAAATAAATGCTATGGATTAATATGATTAGTATGTAAATATTTTTTTTTTTTTTTTTGCTAAATGTGTTTAGATAAGATCTTTTTTTTTTTTTCCCCTTACTTTTTAAGGTAGAAATATTATGTTACTAACAGAATGAGTAATTTTTATTTTGAAAATCATTTATGAACCTTTAGTTTACTTATAAGTGAACATTTTAAAATTCGTCAAATGTACATCTCTTAATTCTACTTTTCTTCGTGTCCATCTGCACTATAAAGCTGGTAGATGTCACTGTAATGGTTGAAAATAGTGCCCAACCAAATGTCTAGCATAAACAAATAGGTACCCAAAATATTAAGTTTTAGTTTATTTAACATTTTCATATTATGCCCTTGTTTGAGCCTCATTCTTTTCATAAGAAAGAATTTTTGAATTGTGTATTTACATGTAAAATGTACAGTTAAAAAATAAATAAAAGTTTTGGATTTATATTTAATATTATTTTATTAAAGAATGTGTGATTAAAATAATGTCAAAACATTATTTAAGAATGTATTTTTTTTTTCAAAGAATGAGGCTTAAACAAGGGCTATGTATGCAATTTCATAAGATTTTTATTCTCTAATAATTTTAATTTTGTTTAATTACTTATATCATCTATTCCATACATAAGACGTGCAATGCACGTATTTACTACTAGTCTATATAAAATGCACACCACCATTCTACCTTGTTTCGTGAATAGTATTGGATTTAGGGGCATTAAATGTGGCACTAAGCAGTTCAACTCCACTATCGCCGTGTTTGACTAGTTTTCGCTCGTGCGCGCCTATGGGGTGAGGCAAGCTTGAAGCTACTTGCTCAGCCAAACTGTGGCTCGATTCACTCCACGAGCTCAACCCTTGGTGAGGTAGTTCGCGGGTTAATTATATGAATGGTAACTGAACTTTGCCCTATGTTATTACTTAGTCATTGAACTTAAAAATGTAATTCAATGGTCACTGAATTTCGTCAAGTGTTATTATTTCATAACCAAACTTTAAAATGTATCTCAATAGTTACCGAACTTTGCACCGTGTTACCTATCCGTCACTCAAATGGAAAAATCTGTTAAGTCTAACAAACGGCGTCAACTTGAATGACGGATGTGTAACATGATGCAAAGTTCGGTGACCATTGAGATACATTTTAAAGTTCGGTTATGAAATAGTAACATTTGACGAAATTCAGTGACCATTGAGTTACATTTTTAAGTTCAATGACTAAGTAGTAACATAGTTGAAAAATCAAATCGACCTCAATTACATTGGTACTATTCGAAGATTTTGTACTTTTATTTAATTTATTTTTTTTTTGGTCAATTTCTTCTAATGTTCCAACTGTTTCTCTTTCAATCTATTTATGCGGAGTTTGAGACATGGTGAACTGATACTAGTTGATCTAAAAATCAAACGTACTTTTTCAGTGTGATAAATAAATATTAGCAACAATTCCATTTTTTTTTAATTTATAGGTCTCTGATTTTCCGTTTCCTCTTTTTTTCCCTTCATTTTCTTTGATTTCTTTTTTAATAGAGGTCGATTTCAAAAACTTAGCCCTTGTTTGATCCATATTTTGAGAGATAAAATGAATTTTTGTATAGTATATTGATGAGAAACGTGTAGTTAAAAAATAAAGAAAAGTTTTAAATTTGTGTAATATTATTTTATTGAAGAATGTATGGTTGAAAAATGTCAAATCACTGTTTAAAAATGTATTTTTTTGAAAGAATGAGACTCAAATAAGGGTTTAATAATTCAATTTAAAAATATATCTTAATGGTCACCAAACTTTGCCCTATGTTACTATTTAGTCACCTAACTTAAAAAAAAATAACTCTATGGTCATTGAACTTCTTCAAGTATTACTACTTTATAATCGAACTTTAAAATGTATCTCAATGGTCACCGAACTTTGCATCATGTTACCAATCCGTCACTCAAATTGACGTCGTTTGTCGGACTTAATGGATTTTTCCATTTAAGTGACGGATGGGTAACAATGTGCAAAGTTCGGTGACCATTGAGATACATTTTAAAGTTCGGTTATGAAGTAGTAACACTTGACGAAGTTCAATGACTATCGAGTTATATTTTTAAGTTTGGTGACTAAATAGTAACATAGGGCAAAGTTCAGTGACCATTCATATAATTAACCAGGTAGTTCGCACAATTCTTTTATTGAAATTGCAGATTTTACTCATTATAACTAGTCGGCTTGTCCTAGCGAGTGGCTCGTCATATTTAATACCCCTAACTGAATTGTACAATTAACTTAATGAGATTTAACTTTTCCATTTCCTTTTTAACCCATTTTAATAGTGTCTAGTCAACTTACTAAACATGTCATTAAGGACATGAAATACCAAAAATATTCTAGTTATAATAGTTTATCAAGACAAATAAAACCATCAATAATTGCACCTCTCTTATTAGGTTAGCATCCCCCCACTCCCATCCCCCACCACAATAATCCCTCACTCTCTGATGTAAGCATTTTTTCTTAAAAAGATTATCCACAACTAAACAAATAGATTGGCCTAGATTATGTATTCATGTTTTCCATGTAACCATTGACTACAATGGACACAAGACAGACTTAGATATATGCAGACTTCTGAATCATGCACAGTTCTGATACATGTATTTGGCATCATAGTACAGCGGTCTCATCTTTGATGAACTCTACTGTTACTCAAAGTGATAAAATGGGGCCACACGACCTCTTTCAATTCTATATAATAGCTCCTCTTCTCAAGTTTCTCTTCGCCTTCTACCAACAACTTCTACCTGATTTACACACTATGCAATCCAGTGAGGTTACTGGAATTCAGTATCTACTTCCTTCGAACCCAACTCAGTACATGGCAGGATATCAGTTGAACAGATTTTCCAACTCTTTATATCAATTTCAGATGACTCCCCAATTTCAAGAATTCAATCCACAAATAAAATGTTTAAGCGGTAGCTCAACTTCTGATGAAGCAGATGAGCAAAATATAATAAATGAGAGGAAGCAGAGAAGAATGATATCTAACCGGGAATCTGCACGAAGATCACGTATGCGCAAACAAAAGCACCTGGACGAGCTTTGGTCACAGGTTGTCTGGCTTCGGAATGAGAATCGACAACTCATAGACACACTGAACCATATCTCGGAGAACCATGATCGAGTCCTCCAGGAAAATTCTCAACTCAAAGAAGAAGCATCAGAGCTTCGCCAAATGCTTGCTGACATGCGGCTCAATAGTCCCTTTCCTATCCTGAGAGATCTTGATGACGATCCCTTGCCTTAAAAACTAAAATATTTATCCATCCTTTAGTTCTTGATTTCTGAAAATTTGCTTTGTTGAGATTTTAAGGCAGATATGATTTTTGTTTTCCATGTCTCTTCTTCTCTTTTGGGGCTCTCAATAAGAAATGTCACTCTTGTCTTCGCTTATGGTATCAAATGTTTAAGAGATGGGAGTTATAGACATGAATCCTCCATGAAAATTGATGATGTCTGCTTTCACTAAGGTCTATCCATGTCAATGTCAATATCAATGATTGTATCGTTGACACTCAGATTTTTTTGACAAAAAATGACCATGATGCAATCAAATAGCATAAAAAGGAACCAAAAAACAATGAAAAAGGAGAATTTCTACCAGAAGTGGAAATTATTGGTTCTTTCAGGCGAACTACAACAGAGAAAGCAGGCACACAATGTACTTGTACAAGGTTGTGGTAGACAAGTTGGTTCATATATAGTATAATTTAACAGAAAAGAGGGAAAAAAAAAAAAAACATTTTGTGGGTACTCGTTTTAGCTAAAAAATTATGTTCTGTTGACCTGCCCAGCAAAGTCAGGAAAACCTCAATTGCTCGAATAATCCTTACTGGGTATTAAGGAAACATAGTTTACAGTGGGTAAGGTGACGCATATTAGCCTTATTTCAGCATGGTATCTGTTCATATCGTTCGAGATTTTCATCTTTAGATTTTTCCTTATTTCACAAAGGAATCCTGCTGGAATTTGCTCGGGAAGAATTTCAATTTTCTATATAAAAGTGTGTTTTGCGTCGTGAGAAATTTCCGTAATGAAATTAATATTGTTATGGTAACAATCTATCACACCCTAAAACCGGAGAAGATCATCTTGCATTTAATAGTTAGAACAAGTTTCACGTACAGATCAAGAAACTACAAGGAGAATTACATAAATGGGCTGGGCTTATATTGACAAATGTTTCCAAATCAAACACGGCTCTTAATTTCAACCCACTGGCCACTAATCAAAAGTGAAGAATGACAGAGCTCTTGACGCCAACTTCTCAATCCTCGCCACCGGAATATGGCTCAATCAAAACCGGTGGATTATTGATGTCACAAATTGGAAATCATTAGCAAAAAGGAGCAGATATTTTCAAAATTACAGTAACAGACATATGGTTTATAGAGGTAAGGAATTGAGTTTGGTCATCATCCCTAAATAATTTTGATCATGTTCGAGGTCATAATTGATGAGTGAAACCATTCTATTGTAACCCGATCTTCCAATATTTTAGGTTACAAAATAGGTTGTTTCAATCGTGGATTACTATGAAGAAAAAATCGAAAAGTTACAATTGTCCCGGGTATTTGATTTAATATGAACATGTTTTAAGTCTGAAACCTTCGAATAGTTTCAAAATTGTTTCAATCAATGAGATATAACAATTTGCTGTGACCTTGTATTATAGATGTTGTGACATGTATTTCATCTATGTGACTTGCATTTAAATCCAATGACATATAGATTCTATCACATGTAGATGTTGTGACATGTATTTAAGCTCTCTATGACTTAGATTGTAGATATTGTGACCTGCATATAAATTACATGACTTGTACTTGAATCCTGTAAAATTTAGATCCTATGGCATATAGATGTTGTGACTTGTGTTTAAGCTCTTTGTGACCAGTATTGTAGATGTTGTGACTTCTATTTAAATCTTGTAAAATGTAGATGCTATGACATGTAGATGTTGTGATCTATATATTTTTGTGACCAAATTTTTCATCACCGTTTGCAAGCTTCCTAACAATCAAACCATCTTTTCGATTGGTGATGGAAGTTCATCTTTTGTGATTGATATAGATCAACGTACGTGAACCTGTAGGATGCTACAATTGTGACTTGTGACCAATTTATATTGACTTGTGACCTGTGAACAATTAGTAAATTGTGATCATTGCACATTGATTTGTGACCTATGACCAATTTACATTGACGTGGCCTGTGACATAAAATCAGAATGTAAAATGTGAACATAAATCAATTAATTGTGACCATTGTACGTTGATTTGTAACATGTGCACATTGTCCTATGACCTTAACTTGTAAAGGAAGATATGACATGTGACTAGTGAACTTGACACGTACATAGTGCATGTTGAATCGTGACATGTGACATAAATCATAATGTAAAACGTGAAAATATGAATCAATGATCTGTGACTCGTGACAAAATTAGAATGCAAAATATGAACATAACTCAGTGAACTATGACTTGTGACCCCTGACAATGACCCGTGACCTTAAATTAGAATGCAAAGTAAACCTGTGACATATATCAGATAACAATTCAAATGACATATATGTACAAATGAAAAAGAATTTACAACCTGCTGAAAATGCAAATACCTTCAAAAATGAATAAAATTTCATCACCAACATTAACAAACTAAAGCAATTGTATTACTCAAATCGAACACAAATTCCAGTCATAAATATTACAAATTTTTTAAACAAGAAAATTGATGTCGAAATAAAAATATAGTAGCCCATATGGGAACAATCAATCTAGCATGGTGCTATTTTCCTTATTCTTGCCCAGCGTTGTGACCTGCTTGATTTGCTTATGTTTAAACAGGGGGAGAGCTATATCCAGCCTAAACAAAACTCCAACAACTAGAATCTAACAAAGCGACCTGCTATCTTGATTCGGATGTTATCAGGGTCTGACCGTTTCATTTCTCTCAATAAAAAAATAGTGGATCAATTGAGGTTAAACCACAATTTCATGACAGTCCATGAAGTGTAAGAAACATGTATTTGCCAGTATATCTTATTGGGCTTTGCTGAATTTTGTTATGAAATTGATCATAACACATTTCGAAGCGTTTTGTTGTAATTTTTCAGTGAAAAACCAGCGGTCTTCAAGAATAATGTACTTCCATTCCTACATTATTTGTATAGATCAAGACAACATTAAAATCAAATATGAAATGGTAAAACAATCATGTTACAGATAAATGTACAATAATAATTCACTCAAGTCACACATATAAAAAAACCCAATCAGAAGTTCTAGTTCTTAAAGCAATGTCACATAAGGTAGATCACAGTTCATCATACTAGCCTTTTCAACATACATTGAACATAGTTTATTAGGTCACAATCAGACAGTAATTGAGGTTACAATACTAGTTTATGTATACATATAGACAATGTTAAAATAAAATATAGAATTGTAGAATAATCAAGTCACAAATTATCATACAATAGGATATTTCTCAGGTCACATACATAAAAAATTCAATCACAAGTTCTGATGCTGAACACAAATCTAAATTAATGTCACAAACAATGAATATTATTCACAATACTTGTGAACCATCAACTGTGACTTTCATAAATGGTCTTCAAATAAAATAAACAACACAAAACTGAAATTACCTTCTCCGAAGTCGATTTGCTTTAGATCCAAAACATTTCAATTTCTTGGTTTCAGGTTCTTTCTGTATTTTATCTGTCTTTCTCTTATATTTCCTATTTCTGGCCTCATATGCCTTCTTCCTCGATCAACTCTCCTTGTTCGAACCATTGTGTGGATTTTTGTGTATATTGTACCACAGAGAATAGTACAGAGAATGACATTCAAAGGAGATGAAGTTGTGTATAAATAAGAGAGAGAAGTGAGGTTTGATGTCGACAACGAGGAGGTCTCGTCGATTATGTTTAATGGCGACAAACGAACGTGAGATGAGCGAACGCCGAAAGAACAAAACGTGGATTTTGAAGAAGATGGAAGTTGTTAGAAATGGATTGTGAAAGATATTTTCCTCTTTTGAAAATAGAATCCCACTTACCCACGTCAATTACCTATAATTAGTTGAAATCGAATTAGTTAAACTTTATTATTAATTTATAAATAGTAATATTTAAAAAATGCTTTATCACCTAATTTGTGTATAAACAATTCTTAAATTTGATTTTTGAAATTGAAAGTTAAAAAACATGAGTGGGTGTAATTTCCTCATAAGGGAATCTAGGCCCACTACCCTCCAAAATATAACAACTTAGAATAGGATTTTGCTGTTTGTAAACCCAAAAAAAAAAAAAAAAAAGGAAAAAAAATTTTCGTAAAAAATAAGGAAAAATT